GAGAGAGAGAGAGAGAGAGAGAGGATGAGCGTGTGAGAGAGTGTGAGAATGTAGGGTTATTATGTAACTTTAATCTTTCCTCCAGGGCTAACTAGGACTGACCCTTGTACCCCAAGATTTGAAGGGCTATGGGTTTTTTCCTTTGTGGTGCTTGGGACCTTGGGCTGTTTAAACGTACTGTTTTATAATTGGTTAAATTCCATTCTGGTGGCTCATGCACATGTAACATCAACAAAAAAGATGAATTGAATGTGAGTCTTTTCCAAACGGACATTCTACAAAGTAACTGGCTCATATTATTCAAAAATATCAAGGCCATGAAAGACAAAAAAAGAGTGAAGAACTGTTCCAGATTAAAGGAGACTAGAGAAATGCGACAACTAACTGCAAGCTGGCAAGCCTGGATTGGATCCTGAAAGATTTTTTTCCTTTACTATGAAAGACAATAGTGAGATGGTTGATACAATTTGAATAACGTCAGAGACCAGATTAATTGGTTGTATCTGTGTTAACCTTCAGATTTTGATCATTGTACTCTGGTTACGTAAGAGAATGTCCTCATCTTTAGGAACTATGTGCTGAACTCTGTTAGGGTTAAGGGACATCATATCTGTATCTTAGCTTCCTTTTTTTCCAAGTCTGAAATTATTTTAAATTAAAAATTTGAAAGGAAGAGACTTTTCCTCATTCCCAGATCTGCCAGCTGACTTAACTCAGCTTCCAAATGGCAGGACCTCCCTTGGGGATGGGATCTTGACGTTGGCCAGATCTTCGAGGGAAACCACATGGCCCGGGCTGGTGGGACAGCTCTGGTGGGTTGTGATGTCCTGTGAGAGGGGACTGGGTGCTCACCTGCGTGTTTGGAAACGTCCTAGAGTCATATCAGAGCTCTAGAACAGCCTTTCTGTGTAGGAGGAACTTGGTTTTCTTTGGGCCTAAAGAAAATTCTAAGACCTCTGTTAACCTCAGAACAAGGGGAACTTGCATCAGGAAACTATATTGACCACCATCTTTTCTTTCCTTTTCCCCCCTCTCGGTGGAAGGAACCTCTTGATAATTCAGAACCAGGGCAGGTGGTGTGGTGCTATGAAAAGGGGAAACAGCACCTGGCCTTGTCACCGAGGCAGTCCAGCTGCATAGGGCCTGCCCCTGGGTCTGGAGCTGGGCAGCGCCCAAGCTGGGATTAGAATCCCCTACACTCTGGCGCACAGCCACTCAGACAGCTTTAGTAAAAGGGAGGATTTTCTGAAAGGTTGAAGGAATCTTTCGTGGAAGCCAAGGGAGGGAAGCACCATAGAGCCTTAAGCATAGAGAGCCCAGACATCCCAGTTGGCCCGACCGTCTTGGTTCACGCCCGTTGTTCTAGCCTAGTTATTAATAGTGCTCCACCTCACGGTCAACAGTGCCTTGGTTTGATTGATAATTTATCTGGCTGTGTAATTGCAAGATTAGAGTCTAGGGCCCAGCTGATCTCCCACAAGCCTTCCTCCTTTGCCTCCTCTGTTCTCTCCTTGGCCTTGACTCACTGTCCGCTCTCGCTTTGTCTCTCCCTGCTCTGGCTTCCTCTCTTCCCTGACAGCGGGTCTTGTAGCAGAAATATGGTGGCGAGGTTCTAAAGGATGCAGGGGGGGAGAGTCCCCACGGAAGGAACCGGTGGGTTTGGCAGACACCCCAGGAGGCCTCTGCGACTGAAGTCAGAGCTCAAGGTGAAAAAGAAAAGGAGTCAGAAGGGAGGGGTTAGGCACCTGGTTCCCAGCAATGACTGACTCCTTCCAATCGGAAGGCCCAGCTCTCTTCTTCCCTGTTCTTTTGCATGCATGTTGCCATTCCTTTAGAGCTGTTCTAACCAGGTTCTTCTAGTTGGGATGCCACTCGCCGATGTGGAATTGGGCCTGCATGGCGATGGGGAATGTCTGGGGGGGCGGGGCTGGCTCCAGCTCCCTGCTGCTCTTCTGCCCGCCCCCCTCCCCTCTCCACTTCTGCTTCCTCCTGGCTCCTGTGTGCTCGAGCCTTGGCCTTGCTGGGTGGGCTCTCTAGGCCCTGGCTCTACCCTGGAGCCTTCTTTCCAGTTCTGCCTCTGCTGCAAAATTCCTGAAGGAAAAATGAGATTGTCCTGCCCCCCGCCGCCCCAAGGCTATGAAAGCCACTCCCCATGGAGGCTGGGACTGAGGGAAGGAAAACTGGACAGGGCAAGGAAAGCAGGCCGCTGGAGGGCCCGAGGAGCGCGGTGTGGTCTCTCAGAGTGGAAAAGTGGAGTGAAATCCAGGGTCAGGAGCTAGCCTTGTGCAGTCCCAGGTAGCAACCACGAGCCACATGTGGCTATTTAAATTAGAATTTAAACATTACAATGTAATTAGGAATTGAGGAAGTTGCACTAGCCACCTTTCACGTTTTCATTTAGCGACATGTGGCCGGTGGCTTCTCTGTTGGACAGATACAGAACATTTCCTTTCTTGCAGAAAGTTCTGTCAGACAGCCCTGGAGAGCTCTTACCCTTTTCACCCAAACACTGTTTCAAAGTGTTTTCTTGGTGTGTTTTAATAGCTGCCACAAGTGCTCTTAAAGAATAGATTGGAGGGGTGGGAAAAAAACCATGGTATATAGGAAACATAAAAACATTCCAGGTACCTTATAACTGGTCAGTAAGTCAGACCATTTCCAGTGGTGCCTTTTGTCATGTAATTCGAGAATATGCCTGCAAACGGAGACTTTACGTGTCTAACTCTGGGTATTCTTCTGCCACTGTCATAATTTTACCGTATCCTAGTTCTGCATGTACTGTTTATTCCATATTTTCCTTTAAATCGACTCACATTTTTACTTCACTTTGTTTGACATGGAGACTTCATGACTGTAAGCGGAAAGCCATCAAGGGGAAATACGTTTTTTTAAAAGCGAGCTTTTTATTTTATGAAGTCTTTACTTTTAATTCCAGGGTAGTTAACATACAGTGTTAGCTTCAGGTGTACAGTATAGCGCTTCCACAGTTCTAGACCTTTCTCCGTGCTTATGGTACTGTACTCTGAAAGCAAGCTTTTTATTGCAGAATTTTACTTACACGTATGTACAAGTGCCCAACTCAGAAGGACACAGCTTGGTGACTTGCAAAGCAGTGCTCTTTTGTTTCCAGTGGATTTGTTATTTTGCTTCTCAGATTTTAGCAGATTCCCTTCCCTGTGGAAGGCTCTGAGCTAGACCAGCTCCCCCTTTCTTTTTTTTTTTAAAGATTTTATTTATTTGACAGAGCACAAGCAGAGGGAGAGAGAGGGAGAAGCAGGTTCCCTACTGAGCAAGGAGCCCGATATGGGACTCGATCCCAGGACCCTGGGATCATGACCTGGGCCGAAGGCAGCCGCTTAACCGACTGAGCCACCCAGGCGTCCCCAGCTCCCCCTTTCTTAAGGAGGAGATTGGCAAATGTGAAGATGTGGGAAGGTGCCACAGAGACAAGTAGCACCCAATAGGGCCTTCTCCTTGGACAAAAGCAGAAGGATTCAAGAAATATCTGAGAAGGAACAACTGTTCCACTGTTACTGCAAATACACCGGTGTTTCTAATTTGCGAGAGGTCTTTGCGGGGCAGGCCCAAGGAGAAGAGTGTGGCTTAGGCTACACAGCAGACTGATGCTTTTGGCCTCAGGTTCCCTCTACACACGTGTAATCCAATCATTGAGGACCCCAGAGAGCTCTGGATTTGTGGGTAATACCTATAAGATGTGCTGTGTTAGAAAAGGTAAAAACTTGTTTGATAGTCCTTTAAAAACCTGTATTAGTTCATTAAAAAATAATAAACCTATTACATGTTGACACATATTTGATCAGCAACAACTATTTTCCCAAACCAAAAAATTCATAAAAGGAATGTAATCATTTAATAGTGTGTTTTTGTTTTGTTTTTTTTAACAAGTCTCTTGCAAGTCTGGCTTAATAGAAGAGCTGAGTTCTCTGCTTCTGCATTCCATCTCTTGCAATGGCACATACCAAGTGGTCTCTGGAGACCTCCATTGAACACTCATGAGAGAATGAAGGTGAAAAGGCAATTAAGTCCAACGTGATAATGAACATGGTTTTGACCTTGCAGACTCCCAGTAAAGGCTCAGGGACCCCCCACGGTGCCCTGGCCCGCACTTTGGGAACCACAGGTGAAGCGAACCACATCCGACGAAAAGACTGAAGGTGTGTGCTTTTGTCTGAAGTCTGACACGCACTGGCTTGTGGCCTGAGATACCTGCAGACTGGGGACCGTCATTCTTGCTAAGCCCGTCTTACAGGGTCATTGTGCGGCTCAGTTAATGCCTGTGAAATCTTTCTAAAGCAGCGGTGTATTTATAAATGGCATTACTAAGGATCTTTTGAAGTATGGCAGCATCTTTAATTTGTAGGACAGGGTTTTTTTTGTTTGTTTTTTTGATAGGAAGTAGGATTTATTGGTGAGCGTGAATAGGGAGGGGGCAGTACGGAGGTTCTCATGAGAACAGAGCCCGCCATTTGTCCAAGGGGCCACGATTAGGGATGTATTTGACCCCACAGCCATGTGGGATGAGTCACTTTTCAGCCATCATGTCTTCAAATTCATCCACATTATACTTAGTAAAGCCCAACTTCTTGGAAATGTGGATCTTCTGGCGGCCAGGGAACTTGGCCCTGCGTAGGGTCTTGATCACATGCTCCTTGTTCTGTGGCTTGGTACAGAGGGACCTGACTTGGCCGATGTGCCCTGGGGCTTTCCAAGGGCACCTCGCATCCCTGTCTGGAGCCTAGGTTGGAGATAGCATGAGGTTAGACGTGACTGTCCACTGAGAGGGGTTGTCTCCAAGGTCCCGTAGGGCAACCCATACAGCCACCAGGCTGCATACACTACCAAGGAGGCTACTGCAAGGAGCCCTTGCACACTGGGTCCCCGCAGGGAAAGAAAAAGACAGTTATTTTAAAAAACCGATGCCCCGTCTTCAGCTTACTTGGTTCTAGAGACACCTTGTGAAGGGGACAGGCCGTCATTCTCAGCTTACAGGCGAGCTAACTGAAGCCTAGATCAGTGGACTGGCCAGAGAATAGAGACTCGTCCCCACTGTGGAGACACCAGGCATGCTGTTTCCAAGGCAGGCTGGCGCGGGCCGGTTTGCTTTAGCCCGAGTGGTGACCTGACCCTGGGTGTATTTCTGACACACTGACACATTCAGACAGGGCTCTCTGCCACCCACAGCAGTTCTTGGCTTGAAAAAATTGCCCTCAGTCTGAGTCACCTAACAGAAGTGACACGGTTTTCAGATTTGAAGAGCTGAGGGATCCAAGCAGAGGGAACTCTTTTAGAACTTCTTCACCTGCTGGTCTAAAAAATCAGCTGGTCAACAGCCGCAGATGGTAAATGACTTGTTTTTCTTGACCGGTGAAAGATCTGCTCTGCTCGTTCTCAGGAGAGTAGTTTATACGAAAGTGCATGGATCATTTACTGTGGGGAAAACCGCTCTCTCTCCTCCCCGGACATTCCTGGAAGCAACCCTCCCCTCTGGTCTTGGGAAACACATTTTTCTGTAATTGTAGGTGATAGGACAATCATGGTCAATGATCCTCCTTGAAGTAGGAACTAAGGCAAAAAGCACAAATTCAGTTGTGGCAAGCGGTCTTTAAAGATGTGGCCAACTGGCATTATGATGGATTTAAAGAAATACTTTATACAGGTTAGGTTGAATTAAAGTTCGAGATTATGCTCCATATAAGCACGGCTTTGTTGTCAGGGGAAAGAACCTTCAGCAGTTGACCATATTACAGTGCTTTGCTGTGGTATGGACTATAGATTGACGCTCCCCTCCCTGTCTACACTGATATGACTACCTTAAAGCACCTTTCTCATTTTTTTTTTTTTAAAGGCTTCATGCAATTGCAAATGACAGAAATCTATTTTCTTTTTTTAAAGATTTTATTTATTTGACAGAGACGCAGCAAGAGAGGGAACACAAGCAGGGGGAGTAGGAGAGGGAGAAGCAGACTCCCCACTGAGTGGGGAGCCGGATGTGGGGCTAGATCCCAGGACCCTGGGACCATGACCTGAGCCAAAGGCAGACGCTTAACGACTGAGCCAGCCAGGTGCCCCGACAGAAATCTATTTTCAACTAGCTTGAACAAAATATAAAACAGTGGTGACAGCTGGGGGTGTGTGTGCACCGTTTTGGCTCTGGGGAAGGTGGAGTATAGGGTTAGACTGTGCAGCATTGCTGGGTCCAGAAGCTCCAAGTGTTGCTGGGGCTTCCTACTTTCAGGCTCTTCTCTCACGGTGCCAAGATGGCTGCCATCTGCTCCACGCTTTCCTTCCATTCTCGCAGCCATCTCAAGAGAAAACAGTTCCTCTAACAGTTTCAGAAAAGTCCCAGGATGAAGTCTCATTGGTTCTGATGGGTCACATGCCCTCCCTCCACAGTCACCGAGGCTAGGAGTATCCGAATCTGATTGGCCAGGCCTGGGTCACATGACCACTTCTGGGCCCTGGGTGAGGCCCAAGAAAATCAGGGCTGTTAACGTTGGGCAGGCAGGAGAGATTTTGGTTTGTGGACTCGCACGCTCCAGTATTTGTGGAGAGTGGTTACTCAAATGGCTGTGATTTTGTGTGGAATGGTAAAACTGGGTCTGCTTTATCTTCTCGAGGAGAAGGCTGGCTTTGTGTTCAGCTTTTAATGCGTCTTGGATGAATAGGCTTGTTGGGGGTTGGACGTGAGCCAGTCGCGCGTCACCGTCCCCGCCAACACAGCCTCGTTGATAGAGGGAAACGCTGGTGTCAAATCCAGTCTCTTGGGTGCGATACCCTTTGGTGGCCAGACACTTACCCAGGCTGGTGGTCCCTGAATCTGCCCGCCAGAATCACCTCCGGAGCCCTGTTCACTCTTGGGTAAAACCCAGATCTGATCCGGTCATGCCTCTGCTTAAAAATTCACCATGGTATTTTACCACAATTTTTAAAAAGGGAAAAACAAAATAACCAAAAAAACCCCTGCGTTAGTGACCCGTCCTCCTACCCCACTCCCGTTTTTTTCCTCCTTTAAAGGCAGTCTAATCAGTTTAATGTATTTTAGCTGGTTAGGTAGTAACTTCTATGACTCTAAATAGTGGGCTTTGTGTGGCTGCTTGTTGATTTGTCAGTTTGTTACCATCCGCCAGCATCCCACTTGGAAGATGAGATTTTAATCTCTTTCCTCCCCCTGATTCCCCCAGGCACCCCCGTTTCCAAACACTTCCTTTCCTCCCAACAGAACTATGATGTAGTCGGTATTCAGTGGTCACGTGATCGCCGTTATGGACGTGCTTCACAGTGGAGCCTTCCAGTAAACTACCATGACCTTCCTTTTTGTGGTAGAACGCGTTCTTCGGTCATTTCTGACGGGGGCATGGGAGGTCAATTGAGACTAATGTAGAAATAAATCAATCCACCGTGTCTCCCCACTGTGCACGGGATAAAGTTCCAATGCCGTAACTCCGCACACGTGCCCCTTCTTGTTCCAACCCCCACCTGCCCCCTGGCCTGCTGGTCCTTGCTCATATGCTCCTCCCCCTGCAGCTAATGCCGCTGCCGCTCTGTCTGGGGAAATGCCCAAATCCCCTTTCTCAGCGGCCTGGCTTGGATGACACTTTGGGTGGCCTTCCCAGTTGTAGGTCTGTTGCACCGTGTGTCTACTGAGGTCTTAGTATTTCTCAGGTGACATTATTTATTTACGGCTTGAGTTTAAATCTTGGCTCTGCCATTTCCCAGCTCTGTGGCCTCAGGCAGGCTACCTCTGTGCCTCAGTTTTCCTCTTTGTAAAATGCAAATAACAGCAATAGCACCTGCCTGCTAAGGTTGTTAGCGATTGCACAAATTGATGGAATTAAAGCATTTCTAATAGTGTCTGCCACGTAATAAATCGCCATCTGCGCTCTACGTCCCTCTCCCTCACAAAGGCAGACTTGGGTGGGTTCTAGTCACCAGAGCCCAGAATAGCTCTTTGGCAAATTAAGTCTCCAGGGGCTGGGCTGGGCACCTAAGTAAGAGATGCAGGCCGGGTGTGATTCAGGCATGGGGGGGTGTTGGGGCCTGGAAGGGGCAATCTCTTTCTGAGGGGGCATCTCATATTCTACTTCTAGGCGGGTGCCAGGTAGGAATGGGGGCCCAGTGTTGCCAGATTATCAGATTCTTTTCCCTTATGAGAAGTTTTGAGAGTCCACTTTTTTTTTTTTTAATGGGTTTTCCTGGCATTTAGTACACGGTACAGACCAAAGGCACTAAGCCTACTGGCCCATAGGCTGCTGGTTTGGGGCCCAATTCTCATTTTGCGAATGAGGCCCCGAGTGACGGCGTGATCTGCCTTGGCTCACACGCCGACTGATTGGGCCCCCCGTTTTCTCACTGGTCTGGACACGCTTAGCACTGGTGCTGCCGCCCATGGTGGGGACTTTGAGAATTCAGTCGTGCATGTGGTGCATTTGCAAAGCATCTGCCCACACGGTATAACAGGTTGCTCCTTCTATCATGTCAGCCGTGCCTGCCTCCGAGAGACCTCCTTGGTGTTTTTTGAAATAGGACGTGGGTCTCTTTTTATGCCGCGTGGTGGTGGGGGGATTGTGTGCATTTACCGAGCATCTCCTGGGTGTCCAGGAACTATTAGTTGTTTTACATCTGCATTCTCCTTTATTCCTTCTAACCGCCCTCCCTATAAGATGTAAAGTAGCTATTTAATAGGTGATAAAAATGATTAATAAAGAAGTTAGCTGATTAGGGCCTCACAGAGGTTTGGATGGGATTGGGTCTATTTATATATATATATCTTTCATGTGAAATATATTTATTTACATTTTATATATATTTATATATAAATACATAAATATATATATTTGTATTTATAGGTTTATTATATATATATTTTATATATATATAAAATATATAAAAAATATATATAAAATTCCAGGCTTCAGACAACATGCCACCTCCTACATATTGGAAGTTCAGCCTGGGAGAAGCTCAGTGGGGCTTTACTAGTCCCTGGGCTGCCTTAAGCACCAGCGCCTGGAAGACAAACCTAGTGGTGGTCTTCATCCTTAGAAGCTGTAGCAGGTGACTTTGGGCCCGGCTAGATAGACGAGAAGGCAGAGAAGATGATGATGACGATGACGATACAGGACTGGGGGAGAGGACCAAGGCCAGTGTCAGAAGCAGTCTGGGGTTCAGGAGCTGAGAAACTGCCACACAAAGCAAAGGCAGTATCCTCATATGCTGGGGTGCTGGCCTCGTTTCCAAAGCCATCTAGCAGGCCCTGGCGCCATATGATAGACGGGCATGAAATAGAAGTCAGCAGAACCTCCTTCACCCCCATGAGCCATCCCATTGGCCCAAGAGGCCCCTATGATTCGACGTTTAGAGATTTCAGAGAGTTCCCTGTGAGGCAGGCCCTCTGCAGCCAGTGGAGCGCACATGGGTTCTGCCAGCAGGATGGCTGCTTGGTCTTGGGGCAGCCCCACGGCTGGTGTTTGTGTTGTTCCTCTTCGGAGTATCCATTTCCCCTCTCAGATGTGAGCCTCTCCCTCCACCCCCCCCCCACGTGTGGCTGTGTCACGCAGATGCTAAAGGGAAAAGGAGTAAAGGGGTGTAGGGTCTGTGTAGTACTAACCCAGCTCTCCAATAGGTCTTCCTAGACATTGGACTAAAGTCCTTCTTTTTATCTGTTTGTTTGTTTGACAGAGACAGCAAGAGAGGGAACACAAGCAGGGGGAATGGGAGAGGGAGAAGCAGGCTTCCTGCCGAGCAGAGAGCCCGATGTGAGGCTCCATCCCAGGACCCTGGGATCATGACCTGAGCCGAAGGCAGCTGCCTAACAACTGAGCCACCCAGGCGCCCCCCCCTTTTTTATTTTTTATATTATTGTATTTGTAAAGTCCTTTTTAATTGTATTTCCTCCTTGTGAAGTCCGTGGATCTGGGTT